TTTTGTGTCGTATGCTAAGGTTGCCTCTTCCAACCTGCCACCGACTCTAAGTATTCCTCTGTCATCAAGAAACGGAGTTAAACTATGTATGGAGCTTGATTTGTCCAATGCTCCATGTTTCCTCAATTGCTGAATTTCTTTCGCAAAATCTGCCACCTGTACGGTCTTGACTATTAGTTGCATCGCCTGATTCAACTCCATAGGTGTCAATACATCTGTCGAACTTCCATGCTTGCGTCCCTTTATCCTTTCTGAAAATCGCAGGACATAACCGACAATACGTTGTAATCGTCTAAATGAACCCTTGTGGTTGATTCCATAGATCATATCCTGTAACCCACTCTGTGAGGCAATTGCTGATACTGTAGATTTTGTCTTGAATTCAAGATCGGATTGATTTTCTCTATTCTTTGAGAAGGGCCCCGGCCAGAGAGATTCATTTCCATGTAGATACGTGGGTCCATAAAACCACATCAGACATCCCGACAGACGATCTGGTTTCATACCTCTGGATATATAATCGGCAGGATTATCCTTCGTCCCCACATGTCGCCATTGAGTGTTTATTGATCTGCCTTGTATATTTTTTACTTTGTTGGCAACGAACGTCTTTAGAGCTGATGGTTCTGAATTGATCCAGTACAATGTAATCTCTGAGTCTGACCAATAAATAGTCCTTAGATCTTCGTAACCCAATTCGGCTTTGACCTTAGCAGTAAGTTTTGTTCCCAATTCAGCGGCACAAAGCTCTAACCGTGGCAGCGTGATCTCCTTTATTGGTGCTATTTTTGATTTTGAACAAAGAAGTCTGACTATATGCCTGCCGTCTGGCAGCATAGCTCGAAGATACACCACAGCACCATATGCCTTTTCTGACGCGTCCACGAAAGTATGTATCTCAATTTTTGTTGGTTTCTCTCCATCAAACATGTGTCTGGGTAACCTGAAATCATTTAACATCTTCAGACCTTCTCGGAACGATAGCCAATATGCTGCCCTTTCTGCTGGCAGTTCCTCGTCCCAGCCAAGTTTATTCTTCCACAGTTGCTGAATAAAGATCTTAGCTGCTGACACCACAGGACCCGCAATTCCTAAGGGGTCAAACAATCTTGCCAAATCAGATGTGACCTTCCGCTTGGTGACCTTGGTGCATTCGTTCACATCACTCTTCAAACAAAATCGGTCTGCTTGAGGAATCCATGTTAATCCCAAAACCTTGGTTGATGATTTGTCAAAATTGAGATCTACTTCTCTATCTTCTGGAGGAATTCCATGCAGCAGTTTTAAGTGGTTAGCACACCATTTTCGTAGTCTAAATCCAGCTTCCAGTAGTAACATATTAACTTGTTTCTGCATCTCAATTGCCGTTGTTAAACTGTCAGACCCGCACATGCAATCGTCAACGTAAAAATTCTTTTGCAATACCATCGCCCCCAATGGATATCTTTGTATGTTCGTATCTGCTAGCCTTTTCAGACATCTTGTAGCAAGATATGGGGCACACGTCGTACCATATGTTAACGTATTCAACATGTAATGTTCGAGTTCCTTGTCTGGAGTGTTTCTCCATACGATTAGTTGATATTTGCGATCTCTTTTGTCGACTAGCACTTGTCTGTACATCTTTTCAATGTCTGTTGTAAACACAAATCTCGGCAGTCTAAACCGCAACAGCATTCCAAACAGATCTCCTTGAACCCTGGGACCTGAATGCAAAATATCATTGAGTGACCATCCAGATGATGACTTGCAAGACGCATCGAACACAACCCTCAGTTTTGTTGTGCTGCTATTTGGGCGTAGGACACAATGATGCGGGATATAGTAATGATTACCACGCACCTCTCTTGATTGTATTTTCGTCATATGTCCCAGATCCTCATACTCCTTCATAAATTTAGCATACTGCTCGTGAAGACTTGCATCCTTAGATAAGCGACGTTCCAACGCAAAGAATCTTGATGCTGCAATATTCAAGGATTCAGAAATTTTCTCAGGGCCGTCTGCAAACGGTAATCGCACCACAAACCGACCATTCTCATTCACTGTTGTATTTTGGTTGAAGTGATTTTCACACTGTTCCTCTGCTATTGTCAACTTCTGGTCTTCACAAACATCGTCTTGTTCCCAGAACATCTTTAATAACTCTTCTAAAGCATGTTCATCTTCTCCGAAAACGGCGCATGTCACAGTTTCTGATTCAGCCTGAACTCTTCCACTAGCAATCCATCCTAGTTTTGAGTTCTTCAATATAGGAAGCTCTTTGGACATTCGAAGTTCTTGTGAGAGAATCAGGTTGAAGTAGAACTCTGCTCCAAGTAGTACGTCAATCCTGGTCGTTTGATAAAAATAGGGATCTGCTAGTTTTATGTTTTCTGGAATAGGCCATGATGTGATGTCGATCTCAGTGCTTGGTTGGGGTGGCACTATATTTGGTAACACAAAGGCTTCTAGGCGTGTTCTGAATTTGCTGGTGAGTGACTTAAGCTCCACGTTGACCCTGTGGTTTGCGGTTCTTGATCTACCTCCAACACCTTCGATACAGAGAGATGTTTGAATGGGTTCGATACCCAACCTCTGCACTAGTCGCTCTGACACCAGATTAATTTGTGAACCGGAATCCAGAATCGCCTTAAACTCATAGCTTCTTCCATTATTTGCCTTGATCGCAACACGTGCGGTTGCAAGAAGTACGTATGATTGGGATCTATTCGCCGATGCTACTGTTGGCGGCTGTTGAACCGACAAATCTGCTGACTTGTTCTCTACTTGTGGCCTCGTTGAAAAATGCAAAAGTGTATTGTGTTTTTGTTGACACTTCCTGCACTTCCCACTTGTACACGTTTTTGCCTGATGGTCATCCTTGAAGCAATTTAGACACATCTTGTGTCTAGCAACCCATTTCTGTCTTTCGGGCACTGTCATTGCCAAGAACTGTTTGCAGTAATATAGGGGGTGGTCACCTTTGCACATGTGACATCTACGGATCGTGGTGGAAGCAGTCGTTGCTGACGGTTTGCTCTTCTGAATCCCATTGACAGCTTCTAATGATTCGAAACGACTCCTCAAACATTTCATGAAATGATCCATCGTTTGGAGTTCTTTCGAATCTACAATCGACTGCTCATACAACACATGAGTAGTCTTGTCCATCCTCTTTGTTAGGATGTGGATTAAGAGTGGATCCCATTCCTTTGGCCTTACTCCAAGACCCTCCAATGCCAATAACGATTCATGAAGACTATCATGAAAGTCCTTCACTGATCTGCTATCGCCAGACATGTTGGGCAGGTTTAGCATTCTCTCAAGTATAGTTGACACTTGAGCTCTCTTGTTATTGTACCTGTCTTGGAGTGTCTTCCAGGCAATGTCGTAATTCGCCTCGGTCAACTCGAGGTGCCTTATGAGTTTCTCGGCTTCCCCAGTCACGTTGGCCTTGAGATACCACATTTTTTGCACTTGTGGCAAGGCTTGCTCGTTGATCATTTTCCCAAAAATGTCAGCAAACGTCTGCCACTTCGAATAATCCCCATTAAATTGAGGGATTGTAATTTTTGGCAGATTAACTTGATTTGCCAAGTTTCCGCCTGATCTCTGCTGAGACGACGAATGATCGACCTGTGTTAGCGTCGATATTTTTTCTTTGAACTTTAACGTCTCTTCCTCTAAGAGAACGTAGGCTGATGCATCGTACCCCACCAACGTTGGGTCATCAAAGTCCTCGAACATTTTGAAGTGGATATCTTCCACGTGTGTCCACAGTTTTTCAATTGCAGCCACTGTCTGACAGGGAGCAGCTTGGCCTGAATTGCCCCTTATTAACGTTTGTATGGACTGCATTAGAGCCCTCTGACGTCTCACTAATGCAGTCACGCTGCTGGTTGCAGTAAACTGGCCTGATTGTTTTTGCACCCCCTCCCTTGTTGCGGGAAGCGGTTTCTGAGGCATTTGTTCTTTGCCCCTTTTGATGTCTGCCTCGATGTTGTCGATTGCAGCTCTGTACTCTTCACCAATGACTTGGTATTCGTTATTGGTGATATGGAGATGTGACTCTGCCGCAGGATCTGCACGAATTTTGTTTTCATTGCGATCGATCTCTGCCCAGAGTGCTTCCATTTCCTTGAGCTTTTTGCTGTAGAACTCCACCGTTCTTCTTTCCAATGGAGCCTTTTTTACGTTCGCAATTGCCTTCCTCAACTCGGCAATTGCTGCTTGTTGTTGCTCGATTACTGTAGCTAGATCCATACTGTATCCGCCTTACGGTGATTAGCTATCAGTTGATTCAGATTCTTGATGTAGGTACTGGCTTCTTCTCCAGATGTTTCTGGCTCTTAGATGGTGCTACTAGTTGTACGTAACTAGCTCCTTTCACAAATAAATATTTCAAATTCCTTACCACTGGTGGGGGGAAATTCGAAATTTATGAGTGAATCAAGTAATCCTTGTCAGGATCACGTCGGGGTCACCAAAAAATGTTTATTAATATTAATTAAAGCAGATATACACAACACTTGAATTGTGTAACCTTGGTATGTTTACAATTTCTTGTAATCTACCAAGAATATTTATTTTTGCTTTCTATTTATACATTTTTGAATTCATTAAAACTAGCATTTAAAGTTGACTAAGCAATAAATTACTTCAGCCAATAACCCATGCAATGTGAAACCAATCGAGGTGTTTCTTTATTTAGGCTATTGGCCTGCATAAGGCAAACAATAATTATATAGGTCAGTTATATGCTGACATAGAATAAAATAATAATAAAAACAAAATTAAAAAATGTGTTAGTAAAATATGTTCTTTTGAACATTCTCCCCCACGTTGAACGAGGAACGTTCAAGAAACTGTCTGGTCAATGACGTATGATGATGAGACTGACTGCCGAGGGGTAGGTGTTGGGTTCATGTTATTGTTGGAAGTTCTGTGGTGGCGAAACTTGAAAAAAACAATTGAAAAAAATGTTTATTAATATTAATTAAAGCAGATATACACAACACTTGAATTGTGTAACCTTGGTATGTTTACAATTTCTTGTAATCTACCAAGAATATTTATTTTTGCTTTCTATTTATACATTTTTGAATTCATTAAAACTAGCATTTAAAGTTGACTAAGCAATAAATTACTTCAGCCAATAACCCATGCAATGTGAAACCAATCGAGGTGTTTCTTTATTTAGGCTATTGGCCTGCATAAGGCAAACAATAATTATATAGGTCAGTTATATGCTGACATAGAATAAAATAATAATAAAAACAAAATTAAAAAATGTGTTAGTAAAATATGTTCTTTTGAACATTCTCCCCCACGTTGAACGAGGAACGTTCAAGAAACTGTCTGGTCAATGACGTATGATGATGAGACTGACTGCCGAGGGGTAGGTGTTGGGTTCATGTTATTGTTGGAAGTTCTGTGGTGGCGAAACTTGACAATGACGTATATGGCTACTCCAATTCCAATGCAAAGAGCTAGATAGCTGATGGTATGATGGTGAATGGCCGTCGATTTCATTAATTGTGGAAGGCGTCCGATTTCAATAGTTTTTAGCTGTTGGTGTAAGGTGACGAGTTCAGCAGCATGTGTTTCATAGGTGCTGTTTAATGTTTTGTTGAGCAAGACAAGCTTACTGCTTGAGATTATGGAATCCAGTGGCTTAAGTCTCAGATATGATGTGTGCACTGTTGTTTTGTTTTCGTAGTGACCGTATATTGTAAATGTGTTGTCTTTGAAAATGCAGCCTGGCCCAATTTCTAAAGTTCCAGCTCCTTGCACCTCCAGGTGTGTCATTTTTGTACCACAAACAAAGGACAATTCTGTTAAATTGGCTAGAGTAAACATCCATTTATTCTTTTGTTCCATTTGTCTCCAAGTTTGGTGGTGCATGGTCGATTGCAAGTCGCACGCTTCTGACGATTTGTTCAATAAGAAAATCACCTCGCATAAATGTGATCGATCGCCTTTGCTAAATTTCGCTTGGTTGTCGCAAATAAAAACGTCATTTGTGGTATGTATGCAGCTGTTCATTTCTTCTGCGGTTAGCGATATGAACTCATCCCGATGGACGTTAGCTGCCAATAATGTTGATTTCAAAGCTATTGAAATAAATCGACCGGATCGTAGCATAGGTACGGGGATCATTTTGAATAAATCATACTGCTGGAGATCCACTAATGGAAGGCGAATCTCGAATATGATATGGTTCTTAATAACCCTTCCCTTACTCTTCATTAATTTGAAGAAATCCGAAACATTATCTTCGCGAACGGGTAGAGCACGAGATGGAGGAATGTGAGCCTTGATGGTTTGGAGCTCTTGTAGCAATTGATGTGGCGCAAGTAGCAACGGACTTATCCGACCATGATGAGCATCCGTTAAAACGTCGATTAAGTTATCTTCTATATGTTTCAACCTTGATGAAAGTAGCATGAGCTGTGAAGTGAGAAACATAATTGATTGTGTTGTCTTTACAACATCTTCTTCTTTCTTCACCTTATTTGCCAAAAGGTTCATCTCCACTTGCATGTTGCCGAAGTTCCTTTGGCTCGTATCTTCGTCCTTTCTAATTATGTTGATTGTTGAATCAATAATAGATGTCTGATTTTTTAGAAGATCCAACAAATGTTGCTTGTCTTCATTTGCCTTCTCAATTGTCACAGTCATTTGCTCCGCATATTCCGAATCCAAGACACCAAATAACGAGTGTGCGAGGTTCCCGACTATGTTTAGAGCTCCTCTCCTGATGCGCCTGGGGAATATGTTCAGTGTATTTGATTCCAACTGCCTTTGTACTTGAATAAGATTTTCTGAAAGTATCTCACAGCTTCTGTTCTCAACTGCTATCTTACACAACTTCTGAAGGGTTCCTATCCCGGTAGAAAAGCCATCCATATCTGCCCAAAATGGGGAAAGATCATAATAAGTGATCAGTTTCCACTCTGCTGTTACTACTTTTGTGATTCCAATTCCTTCAAAATAGATGCCGGGCTTATTCTCAAACTTGTGTATGTTGAACGAATGACACAAGCATAGAGGTAAAAATAGTAAAGCCACAAGCATCATCGATACTAGCATGCTGCTTGACGTCTTCAATCGCTTTGGAGATGGCTCTTCACTCCTACTCTTGGTCTCTATAGGCGGAAGAGGTTCCTTTTCCTTTTTCCATAAAGGAGCTAATCTGGTTATAGCTCTTTTAATTTCGCCGTTTTGTGTCTTTACGTCGACTACACGAACGGCTCCATCGTTGCCCTTATATGTTCGGGTTATTCTGCCTAGCGGCCACTGCATTACAGGCATGTTATCTTCCTTAATAATGACCAATTGACCAGGTTCCACGTTTGGAGATGGTGTACTCCATTTCCTTCTTTCTTGCAGAGTATTTAAGTACTCCGTGGACCAACGTTTCCAGAACTCATGCCTAATTTGAGATACGACCTTCCATCTGCTTGTCAATGATGTTGACCATTGGTTCGCTGATGGGTCAACCTGTGCCGTTAACGGTTCTCCCACAAGAAAATGACCAGGTGTTAATGCAGCTAGATCATTTGGATCGTCCGAAATAGGAGTCAACGGTCTGGAATTCAGGATTGCTTCTATTTCAATAACAACTGTTTCCAACTCTTCGTGGGTTAATGATGCACTATTAGTGGTGCGAAGCAACAGTTGCTTGGCTGACTTCACCGCGGCTTCCCATAAGCCACCAAAATGTGGTGCTCTTGGGGGAATAAACTGGAAATCGATCCCTTCTCTTGAACACGTCTCCGCTATTATTTTTTGCCTTTCTCCCCAAAGACAGCCTTATTGAATTCATCGAGCTGATTTTTAGCACCTACAAAGTTAGTCGCGTTGTCTGAATATAGGGTTTGACATTTTCCTCGCCGAGAGATAAATCTCTTCAATGCTCCAATGAATGCTTCCGTTGTTAGGTCTGTAACTACTTCCAAATGTACAGCCTTTGTTGCGAAGCAGACAAAGACAGCAATGTAAACCTTGTGTGGTCTCTTGCCTCGTATTTTGTAGTGGACCCATAACGGTCCGCAATAGTCAACGCCGGAGACAATAAACGGCCTTGCTGGTGTGACTCTGCTCGGTGGGAGATTTCCCATGATTTGGTTGTATAACTTTGGCTTCGCCCGGGTGCACCTTACGCAATTTTGCACAATGTTGCGAGCCATAGCCTTCCCCTTGATTATCCAATATTTTTGTCTTGATGTTGCCAGTAATAGTTGTGAGCCACAGTGGCTATTCTCTAAATGGATCATGCTAAGAATGAGTTTCACAATTGGATCGTTGTATGGTAACAACATCGGGTGTTTTGTGTCGTATGCTAAGGTTGCCTCTTCCAACCTGCCACCGACTCTAAGTATTCCTCTGTCATCAAGAAACGGAGTTAAACTATGTATGGAGCTTGATTTGTCCAATGCTCCATGTTTCCTCAATTGCTGAATTTCTTTCGCAAAATCTGCCACCTGTACGGTCTTGACTATTAGTTGCATCGCCTGATTCAACTCCATAGGTGTCAATACATCTGTCGAACTTCCATGCTTGCGTCCCTTTATCCTTTCTGAAAATCGCAGGACATAACCGACAATACGTTGTAATCGTCTAAATGAACCCTTGTGGTTGATTCCATAGATCATATCCTGTAACCCACTCTGTGAGGCAATTGCTGATACTGTAGATTTTGTCTTGAATTCAAGATCGGATTGATTTTCTCTATTCTTTGAGAAGGGCCCCGGCCAGAGAGATTCATTTCCATGTAGATACGTGGGTCCATAAAACCACATCAGACATCCCGACAGACGATCTGGTTTCATACCTCTGGATATATAATCGGCAGGATTATCCTTCGTCCCCACATGTCGCCATTGAGTGTTTATTGATCTGCCTTGTATATTTTTTACTTTGTTGGCAACGAACGTCTTTAGAGCTGATGGTTCTGAATTGATCCAGTACAATGTAATCTCTGAGTCTGACCAATAAATAGTCCTTAGATCTTCGTAACCCAATTCGGCTTTGACCTTAGCAGTAAGTTTTGTTCCCAATTCAGCGGCACAAAGCTCTAACCGTGGCAGCGTGATCTCCTTTATTGGTGCTATTTTTGATTTTGAACAAAGAAGTCTGACTATATGCCTGCCGTCTGGCAGCATAGCTCGAAGATACACCACAGCACCATATGCCTTTTCTGACGCGTCCACGAAAGTATGTATCTCAATTTTTGTTGGTTTCTCTCCATCAAACATGTGTCTGGGTAACCTGAAATCATTTAACATCTTCAGACCTTCTCGGAACGATAGCCAATATGCTGCCCTTTCTGCTGGCAGTTCCTCGTCCCAGCCAAGTTTATTCTTCCACAGTTGCTGAATAAAGATCTTAGCTGCTGACACCACAGGACCCGCAATTCCTAAGGGGTCAAACAATCTTGCCAAATCAGATGTGACCTTCCGCTTGGTGACCTTGGTGCATTCGTTCACATCACTCTTCAAACAAAATCGGTCTGCTTGAGGAATCCATGTTAATCCCAAAACCTTGGTTGATGATTTGTCAAAATTGAGATCTACTTCTCTATCTTCTGGAGGAATTCCATGCAGCAGTTTTAAGTGGTTAGCACACCATTTTCGTAGTCTAAATCCAGCTTCCAGTAGTAACATATTAACTTGTTTCTGCATCTCAATTGCCGTTGTTAAACTGTCAGACCCGCACATGCAATCGTCAACGTAAAAATTCTTTTGCAATACCATCGCCCCCAATGGATATCTTTGTATGTTCGTATCTGCTAGCCTTTTCAGACATCTTGTAGCAAGATATGGGGCACACGTCGTACCATATGTTAACGTATTCAACATGTAATGTTCGAGTTCCTTGTCTGGAGTGTTTCTCCATACGATTAGTTGATATTTGCGATCTCTTTTGTCGACTAGCACTTGTCTGTACATCTTTTCAATGTCTGTTGTAAACACAAATCTCGGCAGTCTAAACCGCAACAGCATTCCAAACAGATCTCCTTGAACCCTGGGACCTGAATGCAAAATATCATTGAGTGACCATCCAGATGATGACTTGCAAGACGCATCGAACACAACCCTCAGTTTTGTTGTGCTGCTATTTGGGCGTAGGACACAATGATGCGGGATATAGTAATGATTACCACGCACCTCTCTTGATTGTATTTTCGTCATATGTCCCAGATCCTCATACTCCTTCATAAATTTAGCATACTGCTCGTGAAGACTTGCATCCTTAGATAAGCGACGTTCCAACGCAAAGAATCTTGATGCTGCAATATTCAAGGATTCAGAAATTTTCTCAGGGCCGTCTGCAAACGGTAATCGCACCACAAACCGACCATTCTCATTCACTGTTGTATTTTGGTTGAAGTGATTTTCACACTGTTCCTCTGCTATTGTCAACTTCTGGTCTTCACAAACATCGTCTTGTTCCCAGAACATCTTTAATAAATCTTCTAAAGCATGTTCATCTTCTCCGAAAACGGCGCATGTCACAGTTTCTGATTCAGCCTGAACTCTTCCACTAGCAATCCATCCTAGTTTTGAGTTCTTCAATATAGGAAGCTCTTTGGACATTCGAAGTTCTTGTGAGAGAATCAGGTTGAAGTAGAACTCTGCTCCAAGTAGTACGTCAATCCTGGTCGTTTGATAAAAATAGGGATCTGCTAGTTTTATGTTTTCTGGAATAGGCCATGATGTGATGTCGATCTCAGTGCTTGGTTGGGGTGGCACTATATTTGGTAACACAAAGGCTTCTAGGCGTGTTCTGAATTTGCTGGTGAGTGACTTAAGCTCCACGTTGACCCTGTGGTTTGCGGTTCTTGATCTACCTCCAACACCTTCGATACAGAGAGATGTTTGAATGGGTTCGATACCCAACCTCTGCACTAGTCGCTCTGACACCAGATTAATTTGTGAACCGGAATCCAGAATCGCCTTAAACTCATAGCTTCTTCCATTATTTGCCTTGATCGCAACACGTGCGGTTGCAAGAAGTACGTATGATTGGGATCTATTCGCCGATGCTACTGTTGGCGGCTGTTGAACCGACAAATCTGCTGACTTGTTCTCTACTTGTGGCCTCGTTGAAAAATGCAAAAGTGTATTGTGTTTTTGTTGACACTTCCTGCACTTCCCACTTGTACACGTTTTTGCCTGATGGTCATCCTTGAAGCAATTTAGACACATCTTGTGTCTAGCAACCCATTTCTGTCTTTCGGGCACTGTCATTGCCAAGAACTGTTTGCAGTAATATAGGGGGTGGTCACCTTTGCACATGTGACATCTACGGATCGTGGTGGAAGCAGTCGTTGCTGACGGTTTGCTCTTCTGAATCCCATTGACAGCTTCTAATGATTCGAAACGACTCCTCAAACATTTCATGAAATGATCCATCGTTTGGAGTTCTTTCGAATCTACAATCGACTGCTCATACAACACATGAGTAGTCTTGTCCATCCTCTTTGTTAGGATGTGGATTAAGAGTGGATCCCATTCCTTTGGCCTTACTCCAAGACCCTCCAATGCCAATAACGATTCATGAAGACTATCATGAAAGTCCTTCACTGATCTGCTATCGCCAGACATGTTGGGCAGGTTTAGCATTCTCTCAAGTATAGTTGACACTTGAGCTCTCTTGTTATTGTACCTGTCTTGGAGTGTCTTCCAGGCAATGTCGTAATTCGCCTCGGTCAACTCGAGGTGCCTTATGAGTTTCTCGGCTTCCCCAGTCACGTTGGCCTTGAGATACCACATTTTTTGCACTTGTGGCAAGGCTTGCTCGTTGATCATTTTCCCAAAAATGTCAGCAAACGTCTGCCACTTCGAATAATCCCCATTAAATTGAGGGATTGTAATTTTTGGCAGATTAACTTGATTTGCCAAGTTTCCGCCTGATCTCTGCTGAGACGACGAATGATCGACCTGTGTTAGCGTCGATATTTTTTCTTTGAACTTTAACGTCTCTTCCTCTAAGAGAACGTAGGCTGATGCATCGTACCCCACCAACGTTGGGTCATCAAAGTCCTCGAACATTTTGAAGTGGATATCTTCCACGTGTGTCCACAGTTTTTCAATTGCAGCCACTGTCTGACAGGGAGCAGCTTGGCCTGAATTGCCCCTTATTAACGTTTGTATGGACTGCATTAGAGCCCTCTGACGTCTCACTAATGCAGTCACGCTGCTGGTTGCAGTAAACTGGCCTGATTGTTTTTGCACCCCCTCCCTTGTTGCGGGAAGCGGTTTCTGAGGCATTTGTTCTTTGCCCCTTTTGATGTCTGCCTCGATGTTGTCGATTGCAGCTCTGTACTCTTCACCAATGACTTGGTATTCGTTATTGGTGATATGGAGATGTGACTCTGCCGCAGGATCTGCACGAATTTTGTTTTCATTGCGATCGATCTCTGCCCAGAGTGCTTCCATTTCCTTGAGCTTTTTGCTGTAGAACTCCACCGTTCTTCTTTCCAATGGAGCCTTTTTTACGTTCGCAATTGCCTTCCTCAACTCGGCAATTGCTGCTTGTTGTTGCTCGATTACTGTAGCTAGATCCATACTGTATCCGCCTTACGGTGATTAGCTATCAGTTGATTCAGATTCTTGATGTAGGTACTGGCTTCTTCTCCAGATGTTTCTGGCTCTTAGATGGTGCTACTAGTTGTACGTAACTAGCTCCTTTCACAAATAAATATTTCAAATTCCTTACCACTGGTGGGGGGAAATTCGAAATTTATGAGTGAATCAAGTAATCCTTGTCAGGATCACGTCGGGGTCACCAAAAAATGTTTATTAATATTAATTAAAGCAGATATACACAACACTTGAATTGTGTAACCTTGGTATGTTTACAATTTCTTGTAATCTACCAAGAATATTTATTTTTGCTTTCTATTTATACATTTTTGAATTCATTAAAACTAGCATTTAAAGTTGACTAAGCAATAAATTACTTCAGCCAATAACCCATGCAATGTGAAACCAATCGAGGTGTTTCTTTATTTAGGCTATTGGCCTGCATAAGGCAAACAATAATTATATAGGTCAGTTATATGCTGACATAGAATAAAATAATAATAAAAACAAAATTAAAAAATGTGTTAGTAAAATATGTTCTTTTGAACATTCTCCCCCACGTTGAACGAGGAACGTTCAAGAAACTGTCTGGTCAATGACGTATGATGATGAGACTGACTGCCGAGGGGTAGGTGTTGGGTTCATGTTATTGTTGGAAGTTCTGTGGTGGCGAAACTTGAAAAAAACAATTGAAAAAAATGTTTATTAATATTAATTAAAGCAGATATACACAACACTTGAATTGTGTAACCTTGGTATGTTTACAATTTCTTGTAATCTACCAAGAATATTTATTTTTGCTTTCTATTTATACATTTTTGAATTCATTAAAACTAGCATTTAAAGTTAACTAAGCAATAAATTACTTCAGCCAATAACCCATGCAATGTGAAACCAATCGAGGTGTTTCTTTATTTAGGCTATTGGCCTGCATAAGGCAAACAATAATTATATAGGTCAGTTATATGCTGACATAGAATAAAATAATAATAAAAACAAATTAAAAATGTGTTAGTAAAATATGTTCTTTTGAACATTCTCCCCCACGTTGAACGAGGAACGTTCAAGAAACTGTCTGGTCAATGACGTATGATGATGAGACTGACTGCCGAGGGGTAGGTGTTGGGTTCATGTTATTGTTGGAAGTTCTGTGGTGGCGAAACTTGACAATGACGTATATGGCTACTCCAATTCCAATGCAAAGAGCTAGATAGCTGATGGTATGATGGTGAATGGCCGTCGATTTCATTAATTGTGGAAGGCGTCCGATTTCAATAGTTTTTAGCTGTTGGTGTAAGGTGACGAGTTCAGCAGCATGTGTTTCATAGGTGCTGTTTAATGTTTTGTTGAGCAAGACAAGCTTACTGCTTGAGATTATGGAATCCAGTGGCTTAAGTCTCAGATATGATGTGTGCACTGTTGTTTTGTTTTCGTAGTGACCGTATATTGTAAATGTGTTGTCTTTGAAAATGCAGCCTGGCCCAATTTCTAAAGTTCCAGCTCCTTGCACCTCCAGGTGTGTCATTTTTGTACCACAAACAAAGGACAATTCTGTTAAATTGGCTAGAGTAAACATCCATTTATTCTTTTGTTCCATTTGTCTCCAAGTTTGGTGGTGCATGGTCGATTGCAAGTCGCACGCTTCTGACGATTTGTTCAATAAGAAAATCACCTCGCATAAATGTGATCGATCGCCTTTGCTAAATTTCGCTTGGTTGTCGCAAATAAAAACGTCATTTGTGGTATGTATGCAGCTGTTCATTTCTTCTGCGGTTAGCGATATGAACTCATCCCGATGGACGTTAGCTGCCAATAATGTTGATTTCAAAGCTATTGAAATAAATCGACCGGATCGTAGCATAGGTACGGGGATCATTTTGAATAAATCATACTGCTGGAGATCCACTAATGGAAGGCGAATCTCGAATATGATATGGTTCTTAATAACCCTTCCCTTACTCTTCATTAATTTGAAGAAATCCGAAACATTATCTTCGCGAACGGGTAGAGCACGAGATGGAGGAATGTGAGCCTTGATGGTTTGGAGCTCTTGTAGCAATTGATGTGGCGTAAGTAGCAACGGACTTATCCGACCATGATGAGCATCCGTTAAAACGTCGATTAAGTTATCTTCTATATGTTTCAACCTTGATGAAAGTAGCATGAGCTGTGAAGTGAGAAACATAATTGATTGTGTTGTCTTTACAACATCTTCTTCTTTCTTCACCTTATTTGCCAAAAGGTTCATCTCCACTTGCATGTTGCCGAAGTTCCTTTGGCTCGTATCTTCGTCCTTTCTAATTATGTTGATTGTTGAATCAATAATAGATGTCTGATTTTTTAGAAGATCCAACAAATGTTGCTTGTCTTCATTTGCCTTCTCAATTGTCACAGTCATTTGCTCCGCATATTCCGAATCCAAGACACCAAATAACGAGTGTGCGAGGTTCCCGACTATGTTTAGAGCTCCTCTCCTGATGCGCCTGGGGAATATGTTCAGTGTATTTGATTCCAACTGCTTTTGTACTTGAATAAGATTTTCTGAAAGTATCTCACAGCTTCTGTTCTCAACTGCTATCTTACACAACTTCTGAAGGGTTCCTATCCCGGTAGAAAAGCCATCCATATCTGCCCAAAATGGGGAAAGATCATAATAAGTGATCAGTTTCCACTCTGCTGTTACTACTTTTGTGATTCCAATTCCTTCAAAATAGATGCCGGGCTTATTCTCAAACTTGTGTATGTTGAACGAATGACACAAGCATAGAGGTAAAAATAGTAAAGCCACAAGCATCATCGATACTAGCATGCTGCTTGACGTCTTCAATCGCTTTGGAGATGGCTCTTCACTCCTACTCTTGGTCTCTATAGGCGGAAGAGGTTCCTTTTCCTTTTTCCATAAAGGAGCTAATCTGGTTATAGCTCTTTTAATTTCGCCGTTTTGTGTCTTTACGTCGACTACACGAACGGCTCCATCGTTGCCCTTATATGTTCGGGTTATTCTGCCTAGCGGCCACTGCATTAAACTCGACTTAAACTCATAGCTTCTTCCATTATTTGCCTTGATCGCAACACGTGCGGTTGCAAGAAGTACGTATGATTGGGATCTATTCGCCGATGCTACTGTTGGCGGCTGTTGAACCGACAAATCTGCTGACTTGTTCTCTACTTGTGGCCTCGTTGAAAAATGCAAAAGTGTATTGTGTTTTTGTTGACACTTCCTGCACTTCCCACTTGTACACGTTTTTGCCTGATGGTCATCCTTGAAGCAATTTAGACACATCTTGTGTCTAGCAACCCATTTCTGTCTTTCGGGCACTGTCATTGCCAAGAACTGTTTGCAGTAATATAGGGGGTGGTCACCTTTGCACATGTGACATCTACGGATCGTGGTGGAAGCAGTCGTTGCTGACGGTTTGCTCTTCTGAATCCCATTGACAGCTTCTAATGATTCGAAACGACTCCTCAAACATTTCATGAAATGATCCATCGTTTGGAGTTCTTTCGAATCTACAATCGACTGCTCATACAACACATGAGTAGTCTTGTCCATCCTCTTTGTTAGGATGTGGATTAAGAGTGGATCCCATTCCTTTGGCCTTACTCCAAGACCCTCCAATGCCAATAACGATTCATGAAGACTATCATGAAAGTCCTTCACTGATCTGCTATCGCCAGACATGTTGGGCAGGTTTAGCATTCTCTCAAGTATAGTTGACACTTGAGCTCTCTTGTTATTGTACCTGTCTTGGAGTGTCTTCCAGGCAATGTCGTAATTCGCCTCGGTCAACTCGAGGTGCCTTATGAGTTTCTCGGCTTCCCCAGTCACGTTGGCCTTGAGATACCACATTTTTTGCACTTGTGGCAAGGCTTGCTCGTTGATCATTTTCCCAAAAATGTCAGCAAACGTCTGCCACTTCGAATAATCCCCATTAAATTGAGGGATTGTAATTTTTGGCAGATTAACTTGATTTGCCAAGTTTCCGCCTGATCTCTGCTGAGACGACGAATGATCGACCTGTGTTAGCGTCGATATTTTTTCTTTGAACTTTAACGTCTCTTCCTCTAAGAGAACGTAGGCTGATGCATCGTACCCCACCAACGTTGGGTCATCAAAGTCCTCGAACATTTTGAAGTGGATATCTTCCACGTGTGTCCACAGTTTTTCAATTGCAGCCACTGTCTGACAGGGAGCAGCTTGGCCTGAATTGCCCCTTATTAACGTTTGTATGGACTGCATTAGAGCCCTCTGACGTCTCACTAATGCAGTCACGCTGCTGGTTGCAGTAAACTGGCCTGATTGTTTTTGCACCCCCTCCCTTGTTGCGGGAAGCGGTTTCTGAGGCATTTGTTCTTTGCCCCTTTTGATGTCTGCCTCGATGTTGTCGATTGCAGCTCTGTACTCTTCACCAATGACTTGGTATTCGTTATTGGTGATATGGAGATGTGACTCTGCCGCAGGATCTGCACGAATTTTGTTTTCATTGCGATCGATCTCTGCCCAGAGTGCTTCCATTTCCTTGAGCTTTTTGCTGTAGAACTCCACCGTTCTTCTTTCCAATGGAGCCTTTTTTACGTTCGCAATTGCCTTCCTCAACTCGGCAATTGCTGCTTGTTGTTGCTCGATTACTGTAGCTAGATCCATACTGTATCCGCCTTACGGTGATTAGCTATCAGTTGATTCAGATTCTTGATGTAGGTACTGGCTTCTTCTCCAGATGTTTCTGGCTCTTAGATGGTGCTACTAGTTGTACGTAACTAGCTCCTTTCACAAATAAATATTTCAAATTCCTTACCACTGGTGGGGGGAAATTCGAAATTTATGAGTGAATCAAGTAATCCTTGTCAGGATCACGTCGGGGTCACCAAAAAATGTTTATTAATATTTAATTAAAGCAGATATACACAACACTTAAATTGTGTAACCTTGGTATGTTTACAATTTCTTGTAATCTACCTCCAACACCTTCGATACAGAGAGATGTTTGAATGGGTTCGATACCCAACCTCTGCACTAGTCGCTCTGACACCAGATTAATTTGTGAACCGGAATCCAGAATCGCCTTAAACTCATAGCTTCTTCCATTATTTGCCTTGATCGCAACACGTGCGGTTGCAAGAAGTACGTATGATTGGGATCTATTCGCCGATGCTACTGTTGGCGGCT